GATGGAAGAATGGATAAAGAGGAGGTGGTACATATATACAACGGAATATTGCTCGGCCGTGGAAAGGAATGGGTTCTTGCCATCTGCGGCAGCATGGATGCACCTGGAGGGTGTTGTGCTGAGTGACGTCATACAGAGAAAGACAGATGCAATGTGATTTTGCTTATATGTGGAATCTAAAGAACAAAATAAAAAAAATAAAACAAAAATAAACTTATAGATGCAGAGAACATTTCGATGATTGCCAGATAAGAGGGGGTTTGGGAGTGGGTGAAAAAGGGGGAGGGATTAAGAAGTACAAATTAGTTGTTACACAGTAGTCATGGGGATGTAGGGTATAGCACAAGGAATATAGTCAATAATACTGTAATAATTATGTATGGTGTCAGATGGGTATTAGATTTATCGAGGTGATAGATGGGAGGGGGGTTGGGGGACAGGGTGGAAAAGGTGAAGGGATTAAGAAATACAAATTGGTAGTTACATATATAGCCATGGGGTTTTAATGTAAAGCACAGGGAATAGAGTCAATAATACGGCAATAACTATGTATAGTGCCAGGTGGGTACTAGACTAGTCAGGAGGATCACTTCTTAAATTGTATAAATGTCTAACCACTATACTGTACACCTGAAATTAATATTAAATAATATTGAATGTCAACTGTAATTGAAAATTTTAAAAAGGGGAAAGTTATGAAGGGGAATAAGAAGTTTAATTTTTCAGGTATAAAACAAGTCATGGGGATGTATTGTAATATACAGCATAGGGAATATAGTCAGTAATATTGTGATAGCATTGTACGGTGTCAGATGGTTGCTGGACTTATGGTGATCACTTCTTTAGATATATAAATTTTGAATAATTAACTATGGTGTATACCTGAAACTAATATAATATTGTATGTTAGCTATATTTTAATAACAGTCATAATAAATAAATAAATACCCCCCAAAAGGCATCGGCACAGTACCTGCCACATAAAAAATACTCGATAAATGGTTAAAAAAAATGAATTATTATTTATATTTTCCTAACTGGATAACACTTGCACTTGTTTTCCTTATCAATGAAACAGAGTAAAAACCTCTGAGAGTCATTAGAAGCCAGCTTTCACAGGCGGCACAATGAGTGATCAACTTAATGAGTAATGATATAATTAACAATGAATAAATGGTATTAGGGAACCACAGGGACAGGAAGATCACATCAACATAAACAGACTCTAAGAATCCATAATGTGAGTAGTAACAATGTTGCCATCATTTTCTGCGGGCTAGGCCAAAACATCACCCAGGAATAACACTTGGGCACATTCGGCAGTAAAAACCTGTGGAGGCTCTAGGATCCAAACAGATGGAGATAGTGCCAAGACACTATGAAAAACTTTCATGTGCACTGATTAGGAAAGAAACACATAAGTACTTTTTCTCTAAATTATTCTCAATTTTCATTGATAAATCACTATACTTTACATGGGACCATGAATTTTAGAATGCAATTTAAAATCAAATTGCTTTTATAGTTAGAGGATGCTCAAAAAAATAAGACTTGGCCTGGGGCACTACACACCCCCTGGGCAGCACTTCTTATAAGAAAGTCAATGCTGCATCTGCCAGCGGCTCTGATGCTTGCTGAGGTAGGTACAGAAGGGGGACCGCCAGCATTGCAATCCATAGAGAGACCCTTTATCGATCAGCCTGGTCTCTGCTCCATGTCCCAGTCCCTGTCTCTATGCCAGTTCCAGTGTGGGAAACTCTACTTTCCTCTGAGAAAAATGGTTCTGTGCTCTGACGCTGCTTCTGTGCACATTTAGGATAACAGCTCTCCCTACTCTTCTTCATCATTCCTATTAGGCTCCCATGGGCATTTGATCTTTAAAAAAAAAAATGCTAAAAGCTAAAGCTGGAGCTGCTGGTGACCCCAACTGACAGGAATGTAGCTGGCTTCAAACAGACAGTGGGCCTGACCCTGGAAAAACAGTCAGTGGTCTCCAGGGGTCTCTCTCCAGCTTTTCTCTCAGTGTGTTTGCTTTTATTATTATTTTTTAAATCTTTCTTTGCATATGTCTTTCTGCTAGTTTGCTCATATATGGCAGGAGACATGACAACCAACAGTTCCTTGGTTTTGCATTTGTGTTCAGGAGATATACCCAGGCTGAAGGTAGGATCTGTTAGACCCAACCAGGTTCCACAGAAGGCATTCTGGCACTGGTCAGTCAAGGACCTACCAATCATGAACGCTTTGGACATCATAGGCTTCCTATATTCTTTTTCGATTCTGTGTGCACACTGGCCAGTTAAATTCCAAGTTTATCTCTTGTCACTTATCAAATGTAGCAACCATTTATACTATTAACATTCTGCCATGAACCCTCTTTGCCCAGGGCCACTAGTTTAATGCGTACATATCTACCTCCCAAGTTATCTCACCACTGCAGGGTTGCTATTTCCCCAGCTTCCTTTAATAGATACATATTTTAGGAAATTTCATACCAGAAACCCACGTCTATGTATAAATTTCTTTGTCAATTTTTGCTGAAACAATAACTCCAAAACCGTAGTGGATTACCGAACCAATGTTTTCCTCTCTTTTAAGTTGCAGATGCAGGAGTTTGGATGGGGTTTCGCGAGGATTGGCTCTGTTTCTTTCGGGTCTGATTCAGATTTGTTTCCAACGTCTTTGGTCATGCCAATACCTGGTGTATGGTCCTCTCATGATTGATAACAAGATCAGAAGAGGCCGTATGCCAAACAAAATCAGACACTTGGCTCCCTGCTTAAAATTGAAAGAGGAAAAACTATAGGGAAAAAATTTTTAACACTTTAGTAAATTACCTTACTCCTTTGAAGAACTGTTACTGCTTTTAAAGAGTGCATGGCAGACTTGAGATGGAAGTAGGGGCAACAAGAAGCAAAGACAACACCACCACCAAGTCTCAACATTCAGGCACGGGGAGTGTGAAAATGAACCAGCCCCCAGTGGAGTAGGCTACAAAGGCAGTATTAACTTCAGGGAAGAGGCTGTTTTCAATTTAGGCAAAGGGGGAGGAGGGAATACTTAAGGAGGGTGGCTGTAAAATGAGGCATTTCCACTTTGGGCATTAACCCAAAATACAATGCTAGGGTGTAATAAGACAAAGACTATTAATATTTAAGTGTTCCAAGAAATTTGATAGTGATAGTGGGTCAAATAATATAAAACACATATTTCTGTGGTAAGCAAGTGTAATTTTTACAATAAATAAGCATCTGTCTCAAGAGTAAAGGCAATACAATCTTTGCAACTGAAGTGTCATCTCATAGGAGAGCTTACCTTGGGAAAAAGTAAAACAATTCAACTTCATGACAACAGTATACAAATTACAAATCCTACAAGAAAATCCCATTACCGCCAACAGGCCTGCAGTTTATATTATTAAGATAACTGATTGTTAAATATTTTTTCAGCTTTTACCTTTATCTAAGTAATATACAAAGGCTAATTCAACATATTGTATTTTCAAAGTTCAATATCTCCCAATATCCAAAATTCTTGCTATTATAAACCCCTGTTCATTGAGTCCAACTTTCAGTTTAATCAAAGCAAAATAAAATATTGAGAATTTATGATTTTTACTTCTACACTAAACACATGACATGCTGTAGTCCTCTCTCCAAGCCTTTCCTCCTTCTAGCATGTGTCATCATTTGCAGTCCCCAACCCTACCATGTGAACCTCATCTATTTGTCCTTTCTCAGTTCACATCTTGTCTTGAATACCTCCCTGCCCACCACTCCACAGCTCAGGCACCGCCCGTATTCACTCCAAGTGATTACTATAACACTTACAACTCTACATTCTTTCTCTCAATAAATATATAATGTTGGTCTTTCTGTGGTAGACTATAAGCAACTCGAAGGCAGACAGTGTTGTTATCTTGGTAACTTCAGCACCTAGCACATGATAACCTGCACACAGTAGGCTCTCAGGTATCAGTGTTATCCTTGCTACTACTCCAGGAAGCACCAGATTGTCACAGAGCAGGCAGAGCACACCCTCCTATTTAACAGATGAATGAATTACTAGGTGGATATGCACCTATTAACAGAGCTTTCAGGAGAGTTAAAAAGAATTTCCTAATATCAGAAACTATTAGGAAATTATTGTTAATCTTGTTGTGATGATTGGGGTTAGGTAAAAAAAAATATCCTTATTGTCAAAAGTACATATTGAAGTATTTACAGTGAAATGTCATGATAGACATTGACTTTACTATAAAATACTTCAACAAAAAAGTAGATGAAACAATATGACAATTATTGTTAAATTTAGTTATGTGTATATTCTAGTCTATTCCAACACTTAAAATGTAAACAGCAAGATAACAAGAACATATTTAAAATGTAGAAACTAATGTGATTACCTTTATGTAAATCAGTAAGAAGTAACATAACACTCCTATTAAGGAGAGAATATGACATGACTTGAGAAAGCACAATATAGTATAATTTAAAAGTAAGCAAAAATGTTTCATGCTAGGATAACCAAAAGCACAGCATTCTAAACTACTTAAGGGAGGTAGGAGGGGAATCTCTTATTTAGAAATAAATCATTTATATTTAAGAAAGTAAATTTCAGATACTACATGAGACAAATAATGTGATCAATTATTTATTTCATTTAGGGAAAATAAATTTTTCTTTACATATCTTCTTGAACTTTACTTGTTATACATGTAAAACTAATGTGTTCACTGCTTTAAATTAATATAAATAACCTCAATATTTATAATTTAAGATCACTTCAGAAATATAGAATCTTTTCTTATGCTAATATTATAATATCTCTGGATACTTTTAAAGACATTAAGTTAATAAAAAGACATCTTCCATCCTTCTACCCGTTTTACAGGGCTCTTTTACAAAAAAAAAAAAAAAAGATTGTCCTAAAAGCAAAATTAAAATTACAGCTGATCCATCTTATAGTTAATGGGCTAAGTCCTAGTTAATTATCTGTGCTTGTGTGAAAAAGAAAGAACTATTCCTTCTTTTTATACTTCTTTACCAACTAACCCAAGAAATTCACCATTCTGGGTCATTAGCATGTTTTTCATCTAAAATATTTTGTCAACACATTCAGACTTATTTTAATAGAATTAGAAAATATAAAAATGCCTTAGACTCAAGAAGGATTCTTTTATAATGTGGTTCATCTCTCTTTGGTAATTTTGCTTAAAAGAGACTAGGCAATATCTTTTTTGTTTGTTTTCAATATCCAATTAATGTTTTTCATTTTTTATTTCCTTTGTAAGTAAAAATAACATTACATATCTAGTGGGAAAACGTCACTTGTTTCCTTTTTTTCATGATCACCTTTTAAGCATGAACAAATCTCTACACTTGCCTATACTTTTAGGAAAGTAATCACTCTCAGTCTTGTGTGTTGTTCTATTATCAAGAGGGTAGGAAGTGTTGAGAATGTGATTCCAGGACAGATTCGTTTCTCGTCATTTCACTGATATTCCTGTGCACCTTAAAGACAATGGTAATGTGCAAAACAAAGAGCAGTACTGCATATATTGTGTCCACGCCTCCAGAAATTTATACAGAACTAGAAATATTCTGTGTACTTGTGTGTGCTTTCTTCTTATGTCTTCTTTGGCTAAGTCAATTAGCCAATGATTGTTAGCATCATAAGCAAAACTGTCACTATTATAAATGCATGTCCTGAAAGTTAAAAGAAAAAGTTAAAATCAGCATAATTTTAGTTACCGGTGATAAACATTAATTTTTTATTACTATATGATAAACCATAAATGAATGAATTGGGTAATTTGGGGTGCTAAACAAATGCAAAATTAGTAAGTTATGGAGTATGGAAAACCTTAGCCAGTATAGTTAGAGCTTAGTAACTATAGCAACACTAACTAAAATATGACACTTAAATTTTTAGTTTTGGGGATTAAGTGGCCAAGTTAGAATCAATTAAGTTACTTTCAGATTAAAACTCAATGAGAACACCTTGACTACTATGTGTGGAATAGAGGAAAGTTTTGTCAAAAGAAGACACCTAGAAAGCTTCATAGATACATTAACATGAAGCTATTTTTGTGTAATAATTTTGTGTAACAACATAAAAGACATATCTTGTAAGATCTGTAAACAGGACTTAAGAAAGATACCTTAAAACAAATTTTAATATTTCATATACACTGAAAACTCTAAAAGCCTTCAAGTAAAAAGGAGAAACGACTACAATGTAAGCCAATCATCTCATGATGCAAATAGTCATAATGAGGGCATTCCTGTTTGTAAGCCCTAATGTATCAACCTTTTGGTTTTTTCCAAATATTTGTGGCATTGTTAACATCTAATCATTACAGTAAACAGTAAACACAAGATGAGAGCATGCTGAAGAGTTGAGAACTGATGACATGTCATGTTAATGAGAGGTTTAATATGTTAGTCATTCATTCGACAAAGAAAAACAGTGCTGACAATAATAGAGGTTTAAGTCTCTATTATCCTTTAACAGTCACAGATAAATCCTGAGCCAACTGTATTGATGGACATTTTGCAAGATACAGAAATGTGATGTTATAGAACCATATACCTTTTATAATTTACCAGAAGGTCTTATTTCTGAGGCATCAGGAGTCACAGTTAAATTATGAAATATAACATGTAGTGCTCTGTTGTCTTCAAATGTATAATAAGAGCTGAATAGCAGAGAAGGAAAACACTAATTGAATTACATAATTTTAATTTGAATCAAAAAGCAATACCAGCATTCCCTACAAAGACACCTTTTTTTTAAAATATATAAACTAAAATGTATCATACAAATTCAATGCTTCTAAAAGAAGTAAAGAAATCCTTTGATAGGCAAACCCAAAAGATCACCAGGTGAAGAAGGTATATTATCACCTTTAAACTCATTAACTCTTTCCTCTGTCTTCATTAAGATCAAAATTTTAATTAAATCAGTGTGAAATCAGGAGACTAACCAGGAATGTGTGAAGTTAGCTCTTACCCTGAAAAGCTTATACTTACTTCCCAACTAAGGCAAATGGAGGGTATTTTCAGTGCACATGAAAAAGGCAAATTTTTTCTTAGGAGTTTGCATGCATCTCCTCTTATTTAGAAACAGAGAAATTAGGTTTACTGCAAACGTCAACAAAATTCTAAACAAATATTCCCTCCTTCCATGTTTCTGCACTTTTCATCTTATTAAAAATATCATGGCCAATTATTTTACCAAAGTATGTAAAGAAACTGATGACAGCCAAGAGCTAGCTAGCACCCTGTAAACTCATTACTTTTCACCCCCTAAAGCACTGGCTTTGGAAGGCAAATTCATAACCCATAATGAGGCTGGAACAAATGCAAGGAAGTACATAAAATGGGTGGTTTACTTTTTTTCCAGAGTAGTTTTGCTAAGGCATCTGTACCAGCTCATTTTATATGACAGTATTCTGTACGTTTTTGCTGGGCTCTAAATCACACTCTTAAAAAGTTTCTGAAACATCTAAGAGAAAGTTATATGTTACTACATTTGCTATTATAGCCTCTAGACTATTTTATTGGTAGTGAACAAATATCTGTAAAAACGATTTTTAAAAAAACCCCAGGACCTAATGGTCAAATATTTTTACTAAAAAACTGAACCATTTAGTGATTTATAAAACATTGACATATTTTAGCTTACAATAGGCTTAAATAATATTGTTAATTTAAGGAGAAAGGAAAGAGTTATATAGAGCAAAAAGTAGATAGCTCATCAAAATAATGAAAACAGGCAATTTAGTAACAGCATTAAAATATAGTTGTTCTTAATTAATGAAAACATAGGCATTAAGGCAGCTTAGAAATAACTCAAGTTTATATGAACTCCATAATTAGCTTTCTGAACAGTAAAATCTATAAGATAACAGAAGGGGATTAATTTAAATAATCCTGTTTGTCTACAGAATACATCAGAGTCAACCATGACATTATACTTAATATATACCGGGGGTGCCAAAAAATGTGTACACATTTTAACAGATGTTGTCTATGCACAAGCAGTAGTTCGCAGCAATCAAAAGTGTCTGGACGCTGATGGTAACCACTTTGAGCTCCTCTTGTAATGGCAGAAGTAAAATGAGACTTGTATTCATCTTTTGTTATTGGTATATATTGAGTATTACAATTTTAATTTAGTTTTTCCTTTCTTAAAATGTGTATACATTTTTTTGACACCTTCTGTATATGTATAGTCAATGCAGATCAGATGTTTCAAATAATACTGATTTTTTTTCCTGTATGTTATTGCTTTGCCATCTGAGGGCTTGCCACATGCCAGGTAATGTTCTAATCTCTTTATGGGTAGCAACTCATTTGATGCTTACTGTATGAGAAAACTGAGGCATAGAGAAGTTAAGTTGCTCACAGTCACGTGGCACCTAAACAGTAGACCCAGGATCAAACCAAACAGTCAGGTTTCAAACCTACCCTCTTAACCACTGGGCTGTTTTGGGCTAGATCAGCATGGATTAATAAATGCAATTCAGGAAAAGGTCCAAGCACAGGCAATTTAACAATATATTAGAGGTTGGCCTTTCCTATATTTCTTTGCTTTGGTATAACACACATATATTGTACTAGCATAAATTGTACTAAGGACAAAGGTGAGTTGATTAATAGATTGCAAAGTGAGACTTGGGCGTTCAAGTCGCTTTCCTTTGAAGTGTTGTGAATGTCTTTGAATATATTCAGAAATTTAAAAAACACACAAAGTCTGTTCATCCAGGGTAGAAATTACAGAAAAAAGAAATAAAGAGATAGCATATTGAAAAATACAATTAAGCTAAGAAAGTTATCTACTTATGATATAGTATCAAGTTTTATTGGAAAGCAGCTAAGGATAAATGTTTTAAATCATCAGAATTTCTGCTCACCCTGATTTTCCATAGTCCCAGAAAATTTTGACTAGAATTAGGGAACCAATTAATATAGTACCAGCAACAAGTCCTTGAGGGGGAAAAATTTGGTAACACAGTTAATAGAAATATGAGCAATTACATGTACAGTGTAATTTCACAATAACAAACACACTGGTTATTAGGTGAGTTAAAGAAAATGTAGAAATCAAGAATTATATTTTGTATATGGTTTCCTCATGTCACAAGTTTGAGAGTAAAAAAGGCATGTTATTTATCCTTTATCTTGTTTTCTCAAGAAAAATGAAATAAAATATTTAAAATGAAGTATCACAATGATCAAATAAAATTTGTTTCACAGGTTTTAAAAGATTCTAAAATGTTTCAACCCCACTATGCACAATTCTAAAAGCTTTGCTCATTGATTTTCATATATGTATTTCCCCCTCACTCCACTCTCCAATGTCCTTGAACTCTACTCTTGATCTGTCTACAAAAGAAATTAAAGAAGACACTAGAAAAACAAACTGGAGCTAATGTGTCTAATAAGTGTATTTGGTTCTAAATCAGCAAAATATAAATGTCGCGCAATTGCACTACCATATGGACACATGGCTTTAAAAACAAACAAACAAGGGCTGGCCGAGTGGCTCAGTTGGCTAAGAGCTCACTCAAGAGTTTGAGCTCTGAGCAACAGCGGTTCGAGTCCAGCCCGAGCTGAGCAGCCACTGAGCTGCCAACAGGTAGCAGGATGGCTCAGCTAAAAAAAAAAAATCTAGGTAAAAACAAACAAACAAACAAAAAATGCTATTTCCACCACAAGTAAGCTTTCACCGTATTTTACCCAATTTTATTTATTTTATTTATTTTTTTTTAGCTGAGCCATCCTCCCAATCAATTTTTTAACTGATGCCCTAGCACAATACCAGGAACTCGGAAAGACTGTCATAAAATAAATTATGGCTTGTCAAAATTTTTAGTTTATTTTCCCTTGACCATGACCCATTAACCTCACCATTTTCTACTGTTGCAAAAACATTCCATTTTCACTTTGAATGATAAATAAAAATAGAAACTTAAAAGTGATCCAAAAATACCTCAATGATAGAAGTAAAAGCCTATTTCTAGAACGCTGATCAACACATACATGTTAACCTATAAGAAAGCATGTGAAAGGGGATGGTTTAACAGAAAACCAGAGTAAAATATAGAAATATGAGAAACATAAGTCTACATAAATGATTCCTTAATAAATTAATAAGGGAGTATTAGCTCCCAAATTAAAAACAAACAAGCAAAAAAAAACCCTTTAAGTTATGAAGGCAATAGTTTCTGAAGTCAAAATTCACTTGGTGTCTATTAGAAACCGTCCAAAAGTAAATCAGTGTAAATTTAATATTTATGCAATGTGGGATTAATGAAACTGTAGATTTTGAATGAAATTATGATTATGATTCCAATGTTCTTAGTCATTAACTGAAGAGCACTGATGTAGGGAAAATGCATAATTTAAGAAATGGCTTTCTCCAAGTAAAAAAGATATTTTAGTAATGTTCTCCAATGCAGAACTATTTTTACATACTGTTTAAAATGTTGCAAAGCAATTTTCCACCTATTATCTCATTTGGTCACCTCCAATAACTAGCACAATGCTTGACAAATAATAGAAAGTATTTACTAAATATTTATTAAATTTCATCAAAGGATATTCTTTTTGCAGATGAGAAATTGAGAGCACTAATATACAGAGTATCATCTTCATTTCTGAAGCACCCAAGTCAGAATTCTACCTACAAGATCTGGTATTAATTAAATGATGCTTGTCTCGTTTTCTGAAGAAGTGTGGTCTCATCCAGTCACTTCAAAAGGTCTCACTTGTATCTAATAAGGTAGAAATGCAGTGCATGTGGTATGAAAAACTAAGAAAGTTGTAGACAGGTTTTGTTCTCCCTTATCATCCTATTTAACATAACAGAATAAAGGGACTGAGGTCTGTGGACAGGTGAAGTCACACTGGAAAGAGACTTCTGCAGAAAAAATGTGAATGTGCTTGAGTAATCCTCAAATTTTCAGACTTATAAGTCAGGATTCAATACTACTCCCTCAGCAACATCTCCTGGACCCTTTAAGTGTCTTGCTATTACCACTGGACTTTCTGTGCCTCCGTTACTTCTTCAAATTTTTAAAATAAGGGAAATTCACACGTTTCCTTTTTCAGACTAAACAGACCACAGAAAAATTACATGATTACTTAACTTCTTAACTCTGAATAACAGGTAGGTAATTGAAGTCACTTTATAGTAGGATTAAGTTTGTCATGTGTAGGCAGGTAATAAGATACAGTGAAGACCCTCAATCAGCATCACACTCATTTCAAACCACCACTGATGGTTCAAGACTCTTCAAAGTACACCTGAATTTGGGCTCGTGTGTAATATGTGCTATATTCAGATAGATATACAGCATTAGTAAATATGTATGTGATATTCAAAGGATATCAAAAAGGCATTTTAGATTTTTCACTGAGTGTTCTCTAATTTTTAATTTAATATTCCTTTAATTAACCTTTTAATCTCCATAAGGGACTTAGGAATGTCACAATACCAGATTTAAGCAATGGAAGGGGGAGAAGCAATAGTTGTAAAGAATTAGGACTATGTTAATTGTCAAATTTGAGTTGTGCAGTTTCTTATCCTCTCTAGCACAAGAACCCTTCTAGACTTGCAAGTACCTAGTTCTGAAAAAACTATAATAGTCATCTCCTTCTATTTAAGCAACTAATAGATGTGACCTTGGGCAAGTTATAAATCCTGCAAAGCTACAGTTCTCTCAGATAAAAAATGGGACATAACTACATTATAAGATTGTGTGATGAGTTAATAACATGCTTAAAAATGTCTGAAAGGTTTTTTAAAGGGGAGAACGCAATATTTTTCTTTAAAAAAATGAGGAAACACTGTTATAGAACCAGCAGAAGAATATCTTTAAAATTCACAATACAGGCTTCATTTACATGGTAAATAAGGAAATTCTGAGACGATTAGTTCATCTCTCTTTCTTAGCAGAATTAAATGGAAAAAAATTCAAATACTTCAAAAGTTATATTATCTGTATTATCCTCTTACATTGCAGTATGATCAATAAAAGCAATTTTCTTGCAGTGGAGTTTGCTTATATTTAAAATGAGATAAGTGACCTGATTCGCACAATAAATTTTATTGTCATGTGTCTGATTTAAGAGGAAAGGAACTCCTCTTTATTTCTGAGCACAAGTTGGAATTACAACTAACCCTAATGAATGGGTTTTAGGGAACTCACATAATATATAGCTCAAGAATTTCAGAGAAAATAGTAAGTACTTCAGATCTTCATTGAACACCACTGAGCAGATGAGAAAAAGCTAATCTATTACACTCATCATAACAATCATAATGTGAACATTAAATTACTAAATCATGGGATTTGCATTTAGAACACATTTATTTCTATTTAAAATATAGAATGAACAAATTGAATTCCAACTGTATGAATCTTTCAAGATAAATCTTTCAGCTTGAGAAGTTTATTCAAAATATAATAAATAATAATAAAAAAACAATTAAAAATATCTGCTTTCAGCTATATAGTCCTTTGGCTAATTCACGCATGCATAAGATAGGAGATTGCAGATTAGAAGGACATAATTTTAAAATATACACTTTTTTATAAGACTGTATTTTCTGTTGGATCTTTCATATCAATATGTAAATTTAACTGTATTTCTTCTTAACAAATATTTCTCTTACTATAGTCTTTAGAAGTTTATTTATTTTCTTGTTAATGTATAACATCAAATAATATATTTATGGACCAAAAAAAGGACTTCACCAAATGTGAAAAGAAATCGTAACATAGAGATATGTTTTGGGCCTCATGCCTACAGCAACGGAATATTTTTTTAAAGATAACTTTGTTTTAAATCCCTGACAGGGAAGGGAAAAGGAAGGGGATATAATCTAAGGTAGAACTCTGTTTTATCTGGGGTAGGATAGAAACATAGAAATTGTCAAGAAGCAGTTTATGATTAATTATAAAATATCTAAGGATAAAAACTGTATTAATAACTTTCTTCTTCTTTTGGTTCTTCATCCCTAGAACAATTCACTGAAACAGCAGGCACTCAACTGATTGAATGCCTAATGATGTTACGTTTTCCTAAAATTCCCTTGGAACAAGAACATGGCTGGAAACACTTAGAAACATACCGAATACATACTGGTGTCCACGAAGCATATTGATGAAATGCATTTACCTGTCTTCTCTTTGGCTTCCAAAAATACTTCATTTTAATAGTACTCCTACAACACTTAAAAGACAATATTCTCTTATGGAAATATGAATTGCACCTCCAACAGTAATGACAATGTCTTTTAACTTCCAGAAAGCCAGACTTACCAAATGCAATGGTGCTGACCCCTAAAAAGGAAAAAAGAAAAAGAATTACAAAAATAAAAATTTTGAAGTCATTGATTTGCTAGCAATTGTATTTATGTTATATATATATATATATATATATATATATATATATATATATATATATATAAAACTTGAAAGTTCAAGTCATTCAGATTTCCATAACCAAAAGAAATAGTTATATTTATGAAAACAATTATACATTATGAACAATCAAATAACATACACACCAGTGCCTATATCTATTCAACAGAGTCAGCACTATAAAAACATAAAACACAGCAGTTACTGAATACTGAGACAAACGCCATGTAAATGGTTATATTATTTAATGACAAGAAACAAGTTCAAAAGCTTCAATAGTAACTGCTGATGCAATCCTAAGATCAAGAAACTATCAGAAACCTAAGTCTCTTTCAACACTCTATCAAAACTTAAATGACCATATCACATTATTATTTACACCTTTCTATGACTATGAATGAGGCATTGCAAAAATAGCTTCACTTTCAGATAAATACAGAGGATGCCAAAAAAATGTATAGATATTTTAAGAAAGGAAATCGTATATTAAAATTGTAATACAATGAATGACGCTAGCATTCATTTAATTAATGCCATCTTTTGAGCGAACGTCATATTACACATTGCTACATAATTCAACTTCAAAAAGTAATACATAGATAACATCTCTTAAAATGTGTATACATTTTTTTGGCACTCCCAATATATTTATAATAAATACATTGCTCTCTTAAATGGTGAACAAATTTACTCAAAATACCATGGAGATCAGGCAATACTGCATAGCAGAAAAAGCATAGAATTTGGAGCCAGCAAATATGTTTAAACCCCAATTTTCTCCTTATTAACTATGCACTCAATATGAATCATATAAATTAATCTCTAAGACTCTAATTTAGCACTTATAAAATGAAACTGAAAATACTTATTTTGCAAGGCTGTTGTAAGGACAAAAGGAGATTTGACTTTGAGTGGTGAATACACAATACAATATATAGATGATGTATTATAGGACTGTACATTTCAAATCTATATAATTTTATTAACCAATGCCACCCCAATAAATTAAATTTTAAAAATTTTAAAAAGAAATGGTATGATATTTAAATAATAAATTAATTGCAAATAAGAAACTGGATCTCAACATCAGATGAGATCAGGCATGTTCAGGGTGGTATGGCCATATTAAAATTAACTGAAAATGGGTCAAAGACCTAAACATAGACCTGAAACAATAAATTGCATAGAAGAAAACATAGGTATTAAACTTATGGACCTTGGGTTCAGAGAGAATG